TTGCGGGGGCGCATGGGCTGCGCCACTGAAACCTTCGGTGGAGCTCCCCATGGGAACGCGAAGCGTGTGGGGGTGTGCCGAAATGGGTGGGGCTGCCGCTTGCGAGCGTGGGCACTGGGGGCTTCGGCGGGGCCCTCTGTGGGGCCACGAAGCGTGCGAGGGGCGTGCTGAAGTTGCCCGGGCAGGGGCATTCGAACATGTGTGGGGTCGCGAAACGTGCAAGAGGTGTGCTGACATGGGCGGGGACATTCAGTGGGACTTCGTCTGGGGCCGCGAAACGTTTGAAAGATGTGCCGACGCTGGTGCGGCGGACGCGCGCGGGCTGCGCCGCTGGGGCGTTCGGTGGGGCTCCCTATGGAATCGCGGATCGCGTGAAGTATATGCCGAAATAGGTGGGAACGCGTGAGGGGCGTGCCAGAATCGGTGGGATGGGTGCATGCGGGCTGCTCCACGGGGACATTCGGTGGAACTCCTTCTGGGGCCGCGAAACGTGTGGGGGTTGTGCCGACGTGGGTGCGGCGGGCGCATGCAGGCGGCACCGCTGGGACCTTCGGTGGATCTCGCCATGGGGCCACGAAGCGTGCGGGGGGTGTGCGGAAAGGGCGGGGGGCGCATACGGGCTGCGTCGCTGGGGCCTTCGGTGGAGCTCCTTCAGGGGCAACGAAATGTGTGAGAGGTGTGCCGACATGGGTGCGGGGCCGCATGCGGACTGCGCCGCCGCTGGGACCTTCGGGACCTTCGGTGGAACTCGTTGTGGGGCTGCGAAACGTTTGAGGGGTGTGCCGGAATGGGTGCGGGAGTGCATGCGGACTGCGCCACTGGGGCTTTCGGTTGGCCCCCCCCCTCTCCCCCCTATGGGGGCGCGAAACGTGTGAGGGGGGTTCCGGAATCCGCGCGCGGGCTGGGCCACTGGGACTTTCGGTGGGGCTCCCTATGGGGCCGCGAAGCGTGAGAAGGGTGTGCCGAAATTGGCGCGGGACCACATGCGGGCTGCGCCGCTGGGGTCTTCGGCGGGGCCCCCAATCGGGCCACGAAACGTGTGAGGTGTGTGCCGAGAAGGGTGCGGGGCCGAATGTGTGGGGCCTTCGGTGAGCTCCCCATTGGGGCCGCGAAGCGTGTGGCGGGTGCATTGAAATAGATGGCGGGCCGCATGCGGGCTGCTCCATCGGAGCGTTCGATGGCGCTCCATGGGGCCGCGAAGCTTGCCGACATGGGTGCGGGACTGCGTGCGGGCTGCGCCGCCGGGGCATTCGATGGAGTCCCCGTGGGGCCGCGAAGCGTCTGGGTGGCGTGCTGACATGAATGCGGGGCCGCAGTCGAGCTGCGCCGCTGTAGCCTTCGGTGGAACCCCTGTGGTGCCGCTAAAAGTATGTGGGATGCCGACATGCTTGTGGGGCCGCATGCAAGCTGCGCCAGTGGGGCGTTCGGTGGATCTCCCTGTGGGGCCGCGAAGAATGTGACGGGTGCGCCAACGTGGGCGCGGGGCCGCATGCGGGCTGCTCCACTGGGGCCTTTCTGTGCCCCCCCCCCCAAAAGGCCACGACGCGAGTGATGGGGTGTGCCGGCGTGGGTGCGGGGCCGCGTGCGGGCTGCGTCCCTGGGGCCGTTCGGTGGAGCTCCCTGTGAGGATGCGAAACGAGTGTGCTGGCATGGGTGCGGGGCCGCGTGCGGGCTGGGCCACTGGGACCTCTCGGTGGAGCTCCCTCGTTGGCCACGAAACGTGCGACGGGTGTGCCAACATGGGTGCGGGACCGCATGCGGGCAGCGCCACTGGGACCATCCGGTGGAGCTCCCTATGGGGCCATGAAGCGTGTGACGGGTGTATTGAAATCGGTGCGGGGCCGCAAGCGGGCTGCTCCACTGGGAAATTCGGTGTGCCTCCTTATGGGCACACGATGCGTGTGAAAGGTTGCTGATTTCGGTGCAGGGCCGCATGCGGGCTGCGCGCTGTCGCATGTGTACGAGCAAATGGCTGCGATCTTGAGTGAACCTCGTGGTGGAAGCGCTTCCGGTGGCCGTCGTAGCTCAGCTGGTTGTCCTCGTAGCTCACGTGGCCCTCGGAACTCAGCCGGTAGCTGTCGCAGCTCCGCTGGTGGCCAGGGTGGCTCAGATTGCAGCCCTCGTGGTTCAGCTGGTCCTCGGTCGTCGCGCCTGAACAGCTGGCTCGGGTAGTTTTGGTGGCGGCTCTCGTTGATTGGCGGGTGGCACTGGTAGTTCAGTTGGCGGCCTTGAAGCACTGCTGGTGGCTCTCTCGAAGCTCTTCTGGCAGTCCTTAGGGGGCACGGGGTGGTTCTTGTAGCTCTGCGGGCCCAAATTGCGCAGCAGGCGGCCCTAGAAACTGCGATCGGTGTCTGCGTAGCTCAGCCGGCTTCTTCAGGCAGCTGCGGGAGGGTGTTTCCGCGGAGCTTTTGCGAGGCAACTTCCACGTCTTCACGTCCAGGTCCGCGTGGTGGTAGGTCGCCCCTGCTGGTCGGAGTAACTCTCGTAATTCAGCTGTTAACTCTCGTTGCTCGGCCGGTGGTCGTTGAAGCACTGCATGCCGTCCTCGTTGCTCGGCTGGTGGTCCTCGTGAACTTGTTTGTGGGCCTCGTAGCTCTGCGCGTGGTCCTGGAAGCCCAATCTGTGGTTATCGTAATTAGCTCTAGGCGTGGCTCGCAAAGCTCAGCTTGTAGCTATATAAGCTGCGCTGGAGGCCCTCTAAGCTCTGCCTCTTGTTGTCGTTGCTCTGCTCGTGACCGTCGAAGTTCAGCTGGTGGGTCTTGAGACGCTGCTTCTTGCCGTTGAAGCTCTGCTGGTGGCCCTCGAGTCTCAGCTGGTGACCCTCCAAGCTCGCTTGTGCCGTCGAAACTCAGCTGGTGGCCCTCGAAGCTCAGACACTGGCTCTTAAGGCTCTGCTTGTTGCCGTCGAAACCGTGGCGACGATGGGGGGTCCTTGGCGACGTAGCCCGAAGGGCGAGGTGTGGGATGCCACCGCGTGGGGGGATACCCATCGGGATTTTCTTTTCAAGGCTTATGCCCGGGTCTACCTCGGGTTGAAGCGTCCGCGGGGGCAGGGGAGGCGCGGGCTCCCCAGCGGTCAGGGAGTGGTCGAGGAGCACATCAGCTGGTCCCGCAGGCACGTCCACGTCGTAGTCCCCGAAATCCGGATCGGAGTCGTCACCTGCCAAATCGTAGCGGTCTACCTTCCGAATGTCAGTGCGGTCCTGGAAGCTGCGGCCGTTGTCGCCGTATTCCAAGTAACCGCCGTAGCCGTCGTAACCTACGTGGCCGTAGTCCTGGGGTCCCGCGTATCACCGATGGCCGTCGCACTTCTGGATGGCAGCGTCGTCCTGGGGCCCGTTTGCGCCAATGGGGGTGCCTCTATGATAACATACTTGTGGTACTCGGTGCCGTGCTTGATGTCGTGTTTTTTTGTTGCCGCATTTGCTGTCATACTTGCGCGTCCTCGCGAAAGCGGCCGTGGCACCGGTAATCATATCGTTGGGTCGAGGTTGCATCCCATCACTCGTTGTGTGGCCGCGTCTGTTCGCGCCCGTGATGCTCTATGCCTGTACGGTATCGGCATACAGGCCATTAGGGCTCCACCACCAAGGTGGGTAGATCTTCTAGCCCTTAGCCCATGTTGAACATCTGCCTTGTAATTCAACAACTTGTGGTTGATGTTGCAGTCGCGGTTGCTCCCCCTCTCCCAGATGTTCAACCGCTGGTGGATCGCCTTCTAGTGGTACGCGCGCCGCCCGCTTCCGATGGCGCGGGGGTGCGCTGAGGCCAGCCCCCTGGAGGGCGGCGGCGCGGGCGGGGCTCGGCGTTGGGGGCCAGTGCGAAGTGTAGAATTCCCGCCAACGGCCTTCCTCCTTCACTTCCTCCCGCTCCTCCCCTTCTCCTCCCCTTCTCCTCCTCTTCCTCCTCTCTGCCCCTCCCTCCTTCCGGACGGACTTCGCCCGCGTTTCGACCAAGGTCCCTCCGCCCCGGACCGCGCACCCGTTGGGGTGCGCTCCCCCGGCGCAGGACGCCGACGGAACGCGCCTCGGAGGAGCGGGGCCGCCGGCGAAGCGGGGCGCATGGCGCAGCGAGGCTCCTGTGGAGCCCGACATGACCCAACCTGCCACACCGCCCAAAGAGCACGGCGGATCCGAAGTCCAGGGCTGGGGCCGCGGATTGGAAACCGTCAGCTCGGCGGGTGCCAAGGCCGCCAGCGTTGGTTCCAGGCAGAGTTTTTTTTGGGGGGGGGTGTCGCCATGGGGTGGCCAACCAAAAACAATAGCTCATCCCGTGGGTTACCTAGAGGCCTCCCAGGTGGGGTTGGAGGATCGCGCCGCATTGCCGATACATCGGCGATGCATCGTAGACTTCGGCGATGCATCGGCGACGCTGACGTGAAGCAAAGCGGGCTGCACATCGAGCCGCATCGGCGGTGCATGGGCGATGCGGAGCGATTCTCCGACCACGTCTACGCCGACCCCATCTAGGAGGCCTAGATTACCGCCCCTGTCGTCGATGTGTAGTAGGGGCCCGACCACAAGAAACCTTCCACAGGAAACCCAACCCTGAGATCCCAGGACGTCCATTGACTTTTGGTGTGGGAGCGCCACGCTTTCCAGAGCAAGACCATCGAAACCCAAGAAACCCGGGGCACCCTGGAGGCATTGGGTTTCCACTGTATCGCCGACTCGAGCTCGATGTTTCTCGCCTGCACCATCCTCTTGTGGTTTCTTGAAATCACAACGTGGGCCTCCCGCAACCGCTAAGGAGACGATCCGGGCAGCCCTGGGCGCCGCCCGGCCAGGAGCAGCCATTGTGAAGACATCCCGAAGCTGGATGCCCGGCGAGAACCCGCGAAACCCGCTGGAAATCTTCTCCTGCTCCTCTTGTCCCTCCTCCTCCTCCGCCTACCTCCTCCTCCTCCTCCTCCTCCTCTTCCTCTTTCTCCACCTCCACCCTCGAAGAAGCTCGACTCGACTCGACTCCCGCGAGCCCCTCCCTCCTCCCCCTGGCGCGTCCCTGACGTTCAGCTGCTTCTCCAGCGCGGAGGCTCGGCAGGCCTGCAGGTACTGCTTCTCGCGCCCGCACTTCTTGATGAAGTCCAGGAATCTGGCGAGACGGGCCCGGCAGGGCAAGAGGAGGAGGGGAGGGGGGGGGATAGAGGCCTCCAAGGGGCAAGAGATGGGCCCGGCTGGGCAAGAGGAGGGGAGGGGGAGGGGCAAGAGGAGGGGAGGGGGAGGGGAGGGGGCAAGAAGAGGGGAGGGGGAGGGGGCAAGAGGAGGGGAGGGGGCAGGGCAAGAGGAGGAAGGGAGGGGGATGGGGTCGGAGTAGATGGGGTCGAAAAATCGCGCCGCATCGCCCATACATCGGCGATGCACCGGCGATGCATCGTCGACGCGGGTGATGCATCGGCGACGTCGACGTGGAGGAACTCGGGCTCCACGTCGAGCCGCATCGCCGATGCATCCGCGGTGCGTCGCCGTCCTCCGATCCCACCTGCTCGGACCCCATCTAGGCCTAGATAAGGAGAGCAGCGCGATGAGGTGGAGGAAGTGGGGGACGAGAAAGAGCGAAGGCGCTGGAGGAGAGGGGGTCCAGATGAGGAGCACGCAGCACCCCGCATCTGCGGATGAGATGGAGATGGAGGGGGCGGGTGCGGGGTGGGTCGCGGGCGAGGGCGACAACAACGCAACAACAACAGCAACAACAACAGCAACAGCAACAGCAACAGCAACAGCAACAGCAACAGCAACAGCAACAGCAACAGCACCACCACCACCACCGCCACCACCACCACCACCACCACCAAGACCAAGACCAATACCAACAACAACAACCCAACACGACCACCACCACCACCACCGACAACGACAACGACAACGACGACGACAACGACGACAACGACGACAACGACAACAACGACAACGACAACAACGACAACAACGACAACAACGACAACGACAACAACGACAACCACAACAACAACGACAACAACACCATCAACAACAATAACAACAATAACAACAATAGCAACAACAACATCATCAACAACACCAACACCAACACCAACACCAACACCAACACCAACACCAACACCACCAACAACAACAACAACACCAACACCAACAACAACACCAACACCAACACCAACAACACCACCACCAACAACACCAACACCACCACCAACAACACCAACAATAACACACGAAACATAATTCGCCGGACGGAACACCACTTCTGCCACGCGCCGAGGGACCTTGCAGGACCGTGGGGCACCCCCGCCCTGATGACCACGGGGGGGAGGGAAGGCACCCCCGTCAGCGCTGGAGGCTGCTGCCGCCCGCCCGGCGCGGCCCACACAGTAGGAACTCGACCACAAGAAGCCTGGCACAGGAAACCCAACCCTGAGACCCCAGGACGTCCATTGACTTCGGCGATGCATCGGCGATGCATCGTAGACTTCGGCGATGCATCGGCGACGCTGACGTGAAGCAAAGCGGGATGCACATCGAGCCGCATCGGCGATGCATTGGCGATGCGGAGCGATTCTCCGACCACATCTACTCCGACCCCATCTAGGAGGCCTAGATTACCGCCCCTGTCGTCGATGTGCAGTAGGGGCCCGACCACAAGAAACCTTCCACAGGAAACCCAACCCTGAGACCCCAGGACGTCCATTGACTTTTCGTGTGGGATCGCCACGCTTTCCACAGCAAGACCATCGAAACCCAAGACACCCGGGGCACCCTGGAGGCAAGCAGGGCGCTTCTTGGCATGGGCTTCCACTGCATGTGACAGATGCTGGAGACGGAGACGGGCCCGGCCTCGCTCCACACATCCATCGTGGCACCATCAGGAACACCGAGCGAGGAACGAAAAAGGTTTTCTGGCCACGGCGAGTCTCGGCTACGAGTAGGCCCCACCGGCCTAGAGATCTCCAACAACCAAGGCCCCTCCTGAGCTCAACGCAGTTGTTTCAGCGTCTTGACTGTATGACAGCGCGAATTGTGCTGCATGCTGTTGTCTTTTGTCTCCTGCCGTCCCGTGAGGGTGAGGGCTCTGTTTCCTCTCCTTAATGCCGCGCACCCGCCTCATCCTCATCCTCCTTCTCATCCCCCCCCTCCGTCTGCTGCTCTTCCTCTCTGCTCCCTCCTCTCCCCTCCTGGCTCCCTCCTCCCTCCCTCCTCGCCCCCTTTCTCTTGGTAAATCTGACAAGCATGGACCCTGCGGGAAGCCGGTGATAGACCTTGAGGCTTTCACCATATCCAAATTTCGCATCCGGGTAGACAGTCTTGGGGTTCGTGGGTGGCTCCTGCAGCATCCGACAACTACGTAAGATAGAGGACTGGTCCTGGGGAGCACTCTGGGGTCAAGGACCTGTTTCGCCCAATATCCCTGATGACGATGGCGCCGCCGGTGCCGCTGCCAGTCGATGCGTCAGCGGCGCATCGGCGCCGCCGGCGCGGATAACGTCGGGCTCCACGTCGAACCGTAGCGGCGATCCGTCGGCGATGCGGCGCGATCCTCCGACCGCATCAGCTCAGACCCCGTTTCTGGGAGGCATCTCGACTCCTGCTGCGGCAAGGCTCGTGTCGTGACGACTGGCGCCATGGCTCCTGACACCGCGCGGAGCGCTCAACCCTGAACATTCGCACCTTTTGGGTCCGGCATGCTCTCCTACGGGCCGGTTTGGAAGAAAAGCAAGAACATAGTCCCAACATGTTCAAACATAATCAAAGTCGGAAAAACGTCTCCAAACTATGTTTTGACTATGTTCGAGTATTCCTCCTGTGCGAAGGTGGCGCGCGTGTGTGAGTGTGGTGTGTGAGTGCCTGTGGGTGTGTGTAGTGTAATATGTGTGTGCGTGTGCGCATAATGTCTGCGAGCGTGTGCGTACGTGTCTGTCGGCGAAGCGTCGCCGCCCAGGCTGTGTGTGTGTGTGTGTGTGCGCGTAATGTCTGCGAGCGTGTCCGTACGTGTCCGTCGGCGAAGCGTCGCCGCCCAGTCTGGGTGTGTGTGTGCGCGTAGTGTCTGCGAGCGTGTGCGTACGTGTCCGTCGGCGAAGCGTCGCCGCCCCGTCCGGGGGGGCACCCCGAACGACCCGGATCGGCGGCACCGGCCGGAGGCCACTGCACTCTCCCTCCTGCAGCTGCCTCCCGCGTCGGCGCCGCTGCCCGACTCGATCCCGACGGCGGACGATGCTTTCCGCGCCCTCGCCTTCGCCCTCCCCCTCCTCCTCCTCCTCCTCCTTCTCCTAGCCCTCGCCCTCGCCCTCGCCCTCGCCCCCCCTCCCCCCCCCTCGCCCTCGCCCTCGCCCTCGCCCTCCTCCTGCGTTCAAAAAGGGGTGAAAACCCTCTTTTGAATGCAAACGTGCGTTCAAAAGGGGCAACTGTGCGTTCAAAAGGGGGTAGAACCCCCCTTTTGAATGCAAATGTGCGTTCAAGTCGCCCCGCCCCGCCGGCGCGGGGCGCGAGGACGTGCCGGGGCCGACGGCCGCCGCGCGTGCGTCCACGGTCGGCGCGGGCGCCTCGCGGGCAGCGTGCCCCCCGAAGGGTGGGGGGGGCCCCGCCGGGTGGGCCCGAGAGCGGGGTTCCGCGAGGGCGCGGCCGCCGCGCGCTTCTCGTGCTGCACACGGGGGGCGATGGAGGAGCGATGGAGGAGCGATGGAGGAGGAGGAGGAGGAGGAGGAGGAGGAGGAGGAGGAGGAGGAGGAGGAGGAGGAGGAGGAGGAGGAGGAGGAGGAGGAGGAGAGGGGAGAAGACGAGGGGGAGGAGGAGGGAGGGAGGGCAGGGAGGGATACGGACCTGGAAGGGGCCCTCCAACGTTGGGAAGAGCGTTGGGCCCTTGGAGCCTAAGACTGTCGCACGGAGAAGTGGTCATCTCCACAGGGGTGCCGTGGGGTGTCTAGGGAAGACCCCCATTTTCCTGGAGCATCTCATCCCCGACGTTTCACACGTCAGTCTGCACAATTCGAAGGGAGCATGATGAGACCAGCCAGCAAAGCGAAGGAGAGGTCAGGGACCGACCTCAGACGCTGCGCAATTTCACATCGCGCACGGTGGTCAACTAGAGAAAGACAATACAAAACTTACAAGATGCCCAAGGAGATAACGGGTGCTCTGGTCTTCTGTATGCCGATCCTGATACCCAAAGGGATGAACAACATACTGTTCGCTGCAAACTGTTGGAACCCATGGACCCACTCCTGCAGGGACTAAGGGACCTTTATAGAGGGCTCTAGATTGTCCGACAATTTCTACAAAATTGATCTCCACCCTTCTGCTGCTTTGACCCTCTCGGATGCAGTTCCGTCTGAGTCGCTTGCTCCAAAGGTGGACACATGTCATGGGTCCCACTACTAAGACAATAGAAAACACGCTGCTTGGAACTTTGTCGTGTGCCAGTGCTGTGACCATGCAGGACAGCTTCAATGGTTATCGGGAAGGATACAGGATACAATCACTTCCAGCAGATGCTCTTCCAGGAAAAAGTAGCAGCACGGCCTCAGATATTGCAACATGTACCTGGGCGCTTTCATGGCTCCTCTTGACTTCGCACGCTCATGAGTGGACGCCGCAAGTTTCACTTGTGTCAGACTCGCTGGTAAGTGATTGCACAAGGCATAACTGCATCCCAAGACTTGGTCGGCCTAGCTGACATCATGATAGGACTCTTGGGTCGAGTTAAATAATGCATATCAGCCTCCTTTCACCACATCCCCTCTCGGACGTCTCATCCTTGGAACGAGCTCTGTGACTCGCTCGTGCGCTCTTCCCAAGCCTACGCTTATCCTACAGAACCCAGACTCAGAGATCTTCTTTTCCAACCTGGAACTGGTGGTGGGACGCCCCGCTACAAGTGTAGGCAGCGTACCTCCCCATGTTCGGAATAATGCTTCGTGGCCAGATGGCGAGCTCCAGAAGCCCATCTAGAAGTGATCAGCCCTCCAAGGTTAGGGGGACCAGGGAAAGCTAAGCAGGTCAGGCTATCGTTTAAGATTCGGCGGTGGACAAACCTCCCCTTAGTAAACCTCCCCTTAATGAAAACGGCCTGGGACCGAAACCGACGGACCTGGACCCGCAAAAATGACGGCCGCGACGCACTCTCGCGAACCGGAAACGGCCAATTCCTTAATCGACGTGTCAGAGTAGGAGGTCTGTCCACCCCGACAGATGACTGCTTAGAATGCTCTTGCCACGATAGACAGGGTACTCAAGGGCCAAGCACATACAGGCAAGCAACCAGGGTTTGCGTGCACGACGGCAGCTCTCTGGCCTAGGACGCGCACTACAAATGGAATCCAGAAGGCTCGCCTGGGGGAAGGAGAAGAAACGCTGACCACGGATGGCGACCTAAGATCTTCGCTTTGGATTTCGCTTCCCGGTCCTGTGTTTTAGTCGCAGACAGACCACTGTACTCCCTCGAACGGCACTGCAGGCCACTTCAGGCGTCACCACGGCTGCTGGCAGTTGCACTGGGTTTTCCTCACCTTGCGCTAGTTGTTTCAGTTGCACACGCTCCGCATGCTGCCGACTGCCGACGAGGAGAAGGTGAAGGAGTAGTTTTGAGAGGAGGTTTCCCGAATCCGTGGTTGCTGGGGGATAGATACCATGCTATGTGACGCAAGTACGCATGTAGGATCTGAGACCTCAACAGCACTCGGTGCTGAAGGGTTCACAGAGCAGAAAGATGTCTCAGGCAGCATGTTTCACAATGCCCTGCATCACCTGCAGCATGTTGCGAATAGTACCACTTGTCCACATATCATACACTATGCATACGTCAATCAAATACAAACCAGGACCCCCAGACAGCAGAGAGCTCAGGAGGACCTCTTTGGGCCCGAAGCTAAAGAAGAGAAACGCCTCCGCCACAAGAAAGACTACATAACCATCTTGAAGACATTACGGCCAACGGTTCGGGTCTTCTGGGTCATCGACGACATAGACGGCCTCCACGGGGCCGACGACCACATGCCTGTCACGGCAAAGTCCGGCACGGTCTGCGAGAAATGTGCGAGGCCATCATGCTCATTTCTTTTGCCGCGAGCCGCAGCTGCGGAAGACAATAATCAATTCAGGCATGCTGTTGCGCCGCTCCAGTTGCAAAGATGGGCACGGCTATCACCGAATATTATCAGTCTTTCTGAAAGAACACGGTCAAACTCATGGCTTCCCCTTTTCCCAGACCGCCTGCAGTGTCGAAGGCACCCTTCGTCGCAGATGATTTGATGACGACCATCACGTTTCGGAGGCGAATTCAGAAGGCGCTAAGATCATTCAGATGTGAACGTGCCCCTGGCAAGACCTTCAGGAGAGAGAGCTACCAGACCTTCAGCATCCAGAGGCATGGGCAACCTCCACCCTCCCCCTCCTCCTCCAAGTGGACAGCTATGCTGAAAGTAAACGCGCGTATCAAGCTGTAGTTGACTCACTTGCTCTTTCGTATCCAAGGGCAAGAATGACATGGCATATTGGCTCAGAGGATGCCGCGCAGAGTTCCTCAAGCAACAAGCCCACCAGCTTGACGACAATACCGCCCAGAGAGGCTCCAAAACAGAGTGGGATACCCTTGGCATTCTGAGGAGATTCGGAAGATGGAAAGGAACGAAGGGCAAAACCAAGCCAGCACAACAGGAACCCAATGGCAACGTGCTTAGGACCAAGCAAGAAGTTGACGATGGTGCGTTGCGCAGCTTTGCCAAACTCGAGCATGCGGAGATACTCGAACGATCCAAACTATGCAATATCTATCACTCTTACCGAAGCCCCCCTGGATGCAAGAAGGTCAACGTCTCAGCAGCCATACCTCGCATTGAGCTTCGACACGAGACTTTAAAACGCGAAAAGGACAAAGCTACCAGTCCCGACCTGGTAAATGGTTTCATGCGTCTAGCAACCGATAATATCAGCATGCAACTTCACCATCTTTTGTCAGAATGGTTATCTTCGGAGAGGAACCCCTCGCTCTGAAAGGTGGCCATGTGGTGCCGGTATATAGGACAGGCCCTGATCTGTGATGGAGATTGACTGCCGACAAATCCTCCTAGGATCCCATGTTGTGAAACATCGCCATGCGCTCCTGAGATCCATCCTTTTTCGGTTCACGCACATGCTGCTTGGAGAAATCCAGCTAGGAGGACTCAAGAACAAAAGCTCGGAACACGCCCCTTACTCTTCAATGATTTGTGCAACGTCTTTGATTGAATTGTGCGCCGATTTCTGCTCCAGGTTGGACATCCAGATGATGTCGTGAAAATACTCCAATGCCTCAAGACGGGTGCGAGAGTCGGGATGCCCCCGGCGGGTTACCTTTTCAACCTCAATTTCGGCCAGCGCAAGTGGATATCAATGATGCGCTGAGGCAGGCAAGTCTTCTACTTCCCTTGGATGTCCCAACATCCGAGGAATGCGAGCATGTGCTCACGCAAGAAGAGATCGAGTGGACGAAAGGATAGGACCATCCCACGTAGACGACTCGGCCACTCTTGCTGCTGACAACGAAAGTGCGTCTTGGCCAACAGCATTGGAAGCCGTAGCCATCGTTTTCTGTGAAGCAAATGTGAGGAGAGGATTGGTACCCAACTTCAAAAGAGGCGAACCAGAAGCCATGCTGCTTTGCTTCGGGAGATGGAGCAAGGTCTGCAGTCAATGTTACATGAACGATTGTGCCCCCCCAATCTCTCGACACAACCTCGTGATCCATCCTACTAGGCAGTATAAGTACCTAGGCTTCCAGCTCCCCTCGGACTTCGGGATGGCGCCAGCACCCAAAGGGCGCAAGAAACTCGAAGAACGGTGCAGAAGACTGTGAAACTCGATTCCGAATCGGACGGATCGAAATGGACCCTACTGAGCAAGAAGGGAAAGGGGGTGAATGAGGGAGAAACCAGGAGACGGGATGATGCTGGGAGGAGGGAAAACGGAGGGAAGCGGGCCGGATGGGGAAGCAACCGTGTGGAACGGAAGCAAAGACGAAAGGAGGGAACGATGGGGGAGAGCGAGTTATAGCAAGGATGCGGCGAGGGGGGGGGGGGGGGCGGGGGGGAGGGCGGGCGGGGGTTGGGGGGGAGGATGCGGAGGAGGGAGGGGGGGGGGAGCAGGAGGGAGGAGGAACGACTACGGGGAGCAGGCGGGGAGGAGGAGAGGGAGGCGGAGAGAGGAGAGGGGTTCGGGCGGGAGGAGCGGCAGTCCGAGAGGCTCCGCGTCCTCCCCCCCCGGCCCCGCGGCGCGCTGGGCGGCGGGCGCCGTCTGCTCGCGACCTCAGAGGCGCGGCGCCCCTCTCCTCCTCTTCCTCCTCCTCCTCCTCCTCCTCCTCCTCCTCCTCCTCCTCCTCCTCCTCCTCCTCCTCCGCTCCTCCCTCCTGTGGCTCCTCCTCCTCCTCCTCCTCCTTCTCCTCCTCCTCCTCCTCCCCTCTCTGCTCCCTCCCCCCTCCTCCTCCGTCTCCTCCCCTCCTCCTCCTCCTCCTCCTCCTCCTCCTCCTCCTCCTCCTCCTCCTCCTCGTCCTCCTCCTCCTCCTCCTCCTCCTCCTCCTCCTCCTCCGTCCTCGTCCTCGTCCTCCCTCCTCCTCCTCCTCCTCCTCCTCCTCCTCCTCCTCCTCCTCCTCCTCCTCCCCCTCCTCCAGCTCTAGTTCCAGCTCCTCCTCCTCCTGCTCTTCCTCTCCTGCTCTTCCTCCTCCTCCTCCTCCTCCTCCTCCTCCTCCTCTGGCTCCTCCTCCTCTGGCTCCTCCTCCTCCTCCTCCTCCTCCTCCTCCTCCTCTGGCTCCTCCTCTGGCTCCTCCTCTGGCTCCTCCTCTGGCTCCTCCGGCTCCTCCGGCTCCGGCTCCGGCTCCGGCTCCTCCTCCTCCCCCTCCTCCTCGCAATCCTCCTCCTCCGCCTCCTCCTCCTCCTACTTCTCCTCCTCCCCTCCCGATCGGGCGGGCTCGGGGCCCCGAGCGACGGCCGCCCCGGAAGGCCCGTCGGAGCCGATCGGGTCTCTCGCTCTCGAAATCTCCCTGCAGGCGAATTTCAACGACAAAAATCACATATCCCAAACATGTTCTTTTCGTCCCCAAACTATTTTTGCCAATTTTTGGATATTCCTCTTGTGTAGGGACGCGCCCGAGTTAAAGCCAAGGGGGTGGAGCATCGAGGGTCGAGGCTGCAGGACGCCTCCGGTCCGCGGCTTGCGACTTCCAGGACGCGGCGGGCGCATAGGACATCCGAACAGCAGGAGCAGGAGGTGGAACCACGTGCGGGCTGCAACGTGTGCGAGGAATATGGGGGGAGGCGAAGGAGGGTTAAGATTAGAAAACCCAGGGTTCGCTAGGGACCTTTTTCCTTCCCGAACGACGAGAGCCTTTTTTAAAACCCTCCTGGAACCCTGCGAAAACCCTCCCAAAACCCTTCCCAAAGGGTTTTTTGAGGGTTTCGGCTGTTCTGAAAGGAAGCCAATCCCTAGCGAACCCAGGACTTTCTAAGGTTAGGAACGGGTTCGCAAGGTGGCGGGGGGGAAGAGGGGTAGGGGGTGGCGCTGGGGCCTCTGGTGATGGCATTGAACATCGCGGTGGCGATCGCCATGATGATGCTGATGGTGATGGTGGTGATGATGATGATGATGATGATGATCGTGATGGTGTGATGCTGGCACTGATGATGACGACGATGATGGTGATGCTGATGATGGTGGTGATGGCGATGATGGTGATGGTGATGGTGATGATGATGGCGATGACGATTGCCAACACCTTCCAAACGGCGCGGCGCGGCGAGCTCGCGCCGGGGCGGCGCCGCAGCTGCACCAGCGTCGCACCGGGGCCCGCGCGAGAGGCAAGGCCCGAGGGCCGAGGAACGCGGCGCGGAGAGCTCGAAGTGCCTGAAGAATTGCTGAGAGGGAAGCGAATGGAACCAGTGTTGCCTGGCAAGATTGTCGGGTGCATGACGCGCTTGATCGGGCAGCGCCGCGCGTGGTTGGAACCCGCCGCGGTCTCGGAGGCGGGCCTGCCCACCAGCCTCGGGCCACAGCCCACCGATGGTGGCGGTGGTGCTGGTGCCGGTGCTGGTGCTGACGACGGCGAGGATGACGCGGATGGTGATGAGGATGGGGATGAAGATGAGGACGGGGATGATCATGATGATGAAGCTGATGCTGATGATGATGCTGCTGGTGCTGATGCTGATGATGGCGTTGGTGATGATGATGATCATGGTGATAGTGATACTGCTGCTGATGATGATCATGATGCTGCTGCTGATGATGATGACGCTGCTGCTGATGATGCTGATGAAACTGATGAATGTGATGGTGTTGCTGCTACTGCCGCTGCTGATGATGTTGCGGACGATGAGGATGTTAATGTGAATGCTGCTTGTGATGATGATGATGATGCTGATGATGATGCTGAATATGGTAACGATGATGATACTGACGAGGATAATGATGTCGACGACGACGATGAGGTATATGCTGCCGATGAGGATGATGGCGATGATGCTGGGGTACATGCGTACGGCTATGGTGATGGTCGCGATGGCGATGCCAATTACAATACTGATGCTTGCAATGATGCTGATGCTGGCGACGACGATGGCGACGACGATGATGATGATGCTGATGATGATGATGATAATCATGATGCTGACGCTGACGCTGACGCTGGTGCCGATTGTGATGATGACGACGACGATGATGTTGAGGATGCTGCTGATGATGGATGGGGGTGATGACGGATGACGATGATGATGGATGGCGGACGCGTGGGTGGATGCGTGGGGACGAGGAAAAAGGATCGAACACATCTACAACTACACACAGCGGAACTGCACCTTGTTGCGGGGACGAGGGGTGGCAATCATAATTCGATTTGGCGCGTCGGTCGGTCTGCGTGGACGGACACCGCCTCGCGACCTACCATTGAAGGCGATGGTCGTGCCGACGACGTTGCGTGCCAAGCGTGGAAGCGATCACCGCGTTTCACGGCGAGGCTTGGCGGCAGCCGCAATAAAAATCATAACACGAAAAAAACGCTCACCCTCGGACGGGGAATCCGGCACGAAGAATTATTTGAAAACGCGATCTCGAATTTACTGCTGGGGCACAGGCGGGGGAGGGAAGCGGGCTGCGCGAGGTCAGGCCCGCGGGCATACGGCTGGCTTCGCTGAGCCAGGAGATGTGGGATGTCAGCGGGGAGCGGCCCAGTGGGCGGGGCCTCGGCGATGGGCAGCGCGGGCAGCCGACGCTTCGCGAAGAGGGGACACGTACAGAACGGCACTTGGCGGCCGGGGCGCGGTGCACGTTGGGGGCGCGAGTGGCGACGCCCGACATGCACCCCGCCCCGCTAGCTATGTGTAGTTATATAGGTGCTCCGTTTTGTGGGCATGTCTCCGGCCAAACCAGCATGTACAGAACTACACCTACTGCCCGGCTAAGTGTAGTTCTGAACGCGCTGGATGTCTCGCGCGGGGCGAGCACGTACAGACCGGCACCTAGCGAAAGGGGCGGTGTACACGTCGGGTACGTCGTCGCGCCCCGCTCGCAGAGTCAGGAAGGCAAGGGCCGCTGAACCCCCTGCTGGCCTCCGGGCGGAGGTGTCTGGACGTCCCGGGGCTATCATAAAGAATTCCAGTTGCGGCCTCCGCCCACATCGCTCCTCCTATCTCAGTATCTCGCCTGGTCACTCTGTTCCCCATTCCCGCCCGCTGCTTTGCTCTCCCCCTCCCCCGTTCTTCCTTTACCTGCCCCTCTCAGTTTCCCCGAACGTTTCCTAGTTGCCCCTGGCCCCTGCGCGGCGGCAAACGCCCGCGCCCCCCCCGCAGCTGAAAGACTCACCTTGCGCTCATCCTCCAATCCACTCGTGAGGCGCAAGCCTTGATTCCAGACTGACACTGGCAAGAAACGCCGAGGCCCCGGCAAATCCAACAGGCGCGATCGGCCCCTCGAATGGCGGGCGAACCAATACGTAGGACGATGTCGCAAAAGTAAGTTTGGAATTTCGAGATCCGCGCAAGAAGCTAATACACTCGCCCAAAGTGTAGTTTTATGCCTGTCCGAGAGGAGGGAGGAGGAACACCTCCCCCCTCTCCCCCTTTCCGCCTCACGCCTCGCGGCCAGGAAGAGGCCGCCCCTCCCCCCCCCCATCCGCTGGAGGGACCTCCCCCCGCCAACCCGCATCCCCATTCAAGTGGCAACGTCGACAACAAACTTTCTGCGTCGCGAGCTTTCGTTGAACACCCACACATTCCAATTCATGAGCACGCGGTGACCGCAATGCCACCGTTTTGGACGCCCGAAATGGATACGGAGAAAAATGGGTACGATGCTCAACAACACACGTTGTCCAACACAGTCAGCGGCCGCTGGTGGGCAGGCGGCTTGCTGTCTCAAGTGGGCAACGTCCTCGGCGACACCGACAGCGGGCCCTGTTCAAAATGAAGTGGACATGCTGTTGGTTTTCGTGCTCATTCTTTCCGTACCACTTCGATCGTACCGAACCGTCCACCACCGTCTCCGCGTGGGCGTAGCGTAGAGTGGAGGACGAAACATAAAAAGGAAGCGAAGACACGTGCACCTGTCGCGCCCCAGGGGGCCCCTTTAGGGCCCCTGTGCAAAAAGGGTGCACCTCTCTCTGCCCCCACATCCTTCGAACCTCCATCCCCACGCAACGCCCGCTCCGCTGGAGGGGCACCGAGCCCGGGGCCCGGAGGCACGCGGACGAGTCCACGGCGCTCGCCCCCTGCGCGCGCGGGGAGGGCCGCCGCCCGTCCCGGTGGCCGCCCTGCCCCCCTTTAGAAGTGGGAGGGGGGAGGAGGGAGGCGGCGGGGGAGCATGGGTGGAGGATGGATGGGGGGACGGAGGATGCGGAGGAGGATGTGGAGGAAGGAGGGGAGGAAGGATGGAGGAGGAGGAGGGGAGGATGGAGGAGGGCGGCAGTGAGGATGGGGGAGGGAGGCAGGGAGGGAGGATGGACGGGGGGACGGTGGAGGGGGCAGGAGGATGCGGAGGACGCATGACGGGAAGCCTCTCGCCCCCCCGGCCAAATTGTTTTTTTGGATGCGCTCCCTTCTGTCTGTTTCCCGCCTGCAGAGGCCGAGACCGCCGCCGCAGCGCCCCCCCCGTCCGATCCCTTCCCACCCAAGGAGACCGAGAATGGCGAAACACCCGCGCCCTGATCTCTTCGAGGCCTTCACCCCCAGGAGCGCTGCCTCGAGGGCCCAGGAGCCCGAAGAGCGGCCCCCCCCCCGGAGGCCTGGAGCTGCTGCCAGACGCCTCTGCCCCGACTTCTACCAGGGCGCGCGGAGGCTGGGGCGGAAGCTTCCTCGCGTCCCCTCGCCCCGCCCCCCCCCTGGCCATCGCTCGGACGTCCATTCCCTGTGTTTTTTTCCGGTTTCGTGCGTGTTTTTTTCGCCAAATGAGCAAGGATGCTCCTCGATGGTCCTCGCCGAAGGAAAAATGCACACGTCCGAGCGATGCCAGGCCTCCTTTCCTGTACGAGCAGCGGCCGATGATATTTGCACCTCCGCGCCGCTCTGCTCACGCCCCGACCCCGCAAGGGGGGCCAGTGCATCGGTCGTGCAGATCGACGTCGCCCAGAAGAGCGATACCGACTCTGGCACTGTCTGCGGCCTCTGGAAGAAGGAGGAGGAGGAGGAGGAGGAGGAGGAGGAAGAGGAGGAGGAGGAGGAGGAGTCGGAGGAGGAGGAGCCAGAGGAGGAGGAGGAGGAGGAGGAGGAGGAGGAGGAGGAGGAGGAGGAGGAGGAGGAGGAGGAGGAGGAGGAGGAGAGGAAGGGGAGGAGGAGCCCCGGGACCGTCAAAACCGGACCCCCGCGACGGAGCGCCTGTCCCTGGGGAAGAGGCCGAGGCCCCCGGGGGGCCCACGCCGCGAAAACGACACTGCGCCGTCGCCGTGGGAAGCGGAACGTGCGTCGGATCGGGCTGCACTGGCATGGAATCGAAATCGGATGATCGGCTGCGCCAGGATGCACATCTGCGTCTTGCGAGCCTCGGGCGGCGCCGTATAGCTGTATAACATCGAGTTTGAAATGGATCGAGCTGGCCGAGATCGATATCGAGGCGGACCGATCGGATCGGCATGGGTCCTGCCACCGTCGCCCTCTCCCTGCCCACTCCGACCCTCTGTGCCTGGGGGCAGAGGAGCACTGCGGCACGGGGCACCGCCGCTCCTCCGAGCCCACCAGGCGGAAGTTCTCCAGGGTGATGTCGTACTTCATCTTCGAGGCCGCCTCGGTTGGCGGCGCGCAGAGGGAGGTAAGTGGGAGAAGGGGGGAGGGCTTCTTGGAAAGAGGCTGCTTTTTAGGAGGCGCCGGCCCCACATCTACGGACAAGGGCCGCGCCATCTAAGGAGCAGGGGTGTTTCTAAGAAGCCTTCCCCTCCCCCTCCTCCTCCTCCTCCTCCTACTTCTCCTCTTTCTCGTTCTCCTCCTCCTCCTCCTCTTCCTCCTCCTCCCCGCTCCTCCTCCTCCTCCTCCTCCTCCTCCTCCTCCTCTGCGCGTGGCCGAGAAGAGGCGAAAGCCCCTCGGAGCCGAGGGCCCGGGGTCGCAGAGAAGGACCGCCTCTCTGCACGAGCTCTGCTTCGGGTGCCTCCTGCTTGCCAGACGTGGCCCCAAGGCACAAGTTCTTGCCACCATCGCTCGGACGTCCAACGTCCATTCGCCGTGCATTTGTCGGTGTCGTTTGTTTTTTGTTGGATTTTTGTTTGTTGGTTTGTTGTTTTTGTTCGCTGATCCAGGATGCTCACAGATGGCCCTCGCCGAAAGACAGACGCACACCTCCGAACGATGCCAGGAGGTGGCCCAAGAAGGACAACCTCTGGCGGCCTTCGGAGACCTCTTGTGGCATCCTGGGCCCCAGGGTCATGATGTTCCAACCTACTTTAGCCTTGACCACCAGAAAGAATTTCGAGCACCAAAGAAGTAACGAAACTCGAAACATTTCACGTGTTTCGGCCCTGTGAGACACTCGTCCGACATTCCTTCGACACTGTTCCGGGTGCTCGAACTTATTTCTGGGAGGTGGTCCCTCAAGTACGGTGGGAGCAGCATAACTGAAGGGGCCCCAGGACACACACAAACAAATACACACATAAACAGATTCCCTAAATTTTCCAATATTTTCTGGGTTTCTGTCTTCCCCCCCACTTCCCATATTTTTCCCATATTTTCCTGGGGATCGACGATTACTTGTGTCTGTGTGTTTCTTTCCCTCCTGACATAACCCCGGGGGTGCTTCCCAGCAGCTGCGCCTCGCCGAGGCGTCCGGGGGTGCCCAGAGATCCTCCCGAGCGGCCGCCAGGAGGCCCCTTCTCTGGAGGGGCCCTGGGACACACCGATCAATACATGCACGCCAATATCGGCGGTGGACAAACCTCCCTTTGGTAAACCTCCCCTTAGTGAAAACGGCCTGGGACCGAAACCGACGGACCTGGACCCGCAAAAATGACGGCCGCGACGCCCTCTCGCGAGCCGAAAACGGCCAATTCCTTAATCGACGTGTCAGGGTAGGAGGTCTATCCACCTCCGACAATAACCGGCTTCCAGGCTCCCCCATATTTTCCCATGCTTTCTGGGCTTCTGTCTTCCCCCCCCCCCCTCCCCTGCCCATATTTTCCCATGTTCTCGGGGGAAGCGACGATTCATTGTGTCTGTCTGTGTTTTCTCCTCCTGCTTCTCTACGTCTTCGGCCTCCGGCGGCTGTTTCCCGGCCACGGGGCCGTGGCAGCACCACTCGGGACGAGCCCGTCCCAGAGGAAGAGGCCGAGATTCTCAGGGGGCCCACGTCGCGAGCCAAACATCTGCGCCGTCGGAGACGACGAGGGCAGGGGGCAAGCAAACCTGCCTCGCTTTTGACCACCCTCGCTTCCAAGAGATACCGAACGATGCCAAACTCTTCCTGTACTGGTCAGGCCGCTTGATGAGGAGGCGCGTGGTATGACTTGGTTTTGCCTGGAAGCGAAAGCGGGGTAGGTAAGTCACGCTCTGAGAGGGGGCTCGCTCGCTGGAGTTTGCTGATGTCCACGGTTGCGACTGCGATTGCGTTCTTGCGCATCCTGTAGGTGTCGCGGGCTGGGGCCGAAGCGCCCACAGCAGCTGGAAGAGCAAACCATAACACAGACGCCATAGACGACTCCAACCAGGTGCGACCGCGGATCCACCTGCTCCAACTTTGTTCAATGACCCCCCCCCCCCAACCACTAGAAAAAGAGCAACCGGCATAAACATACACTATTGGCGCTCCGCGCGGATTTCTTGGATCTGCGCCAGACCCCCCTCCCTGGCGCGCGGAGCGCGTCAGGGGTGGCGCCGGAGGCGCCGCGGGGGGGGGGGGGGCCCAGGGCGGATCCGAGAAATCCGCGCGGAGCGCCAGAGTTTCTGTTCATGGCGTCTTTCCTTCTTCGCGCCATGCCAGTCCGCCCGACGGCTCGTACAACCCCCCCCCCCTCGGCGCGCTGGACCCGGCACCCCTCGCGATGCGTGCCCCCCTGCGCCCGCGAGGGCTGGCCCCCGCTCCTGCTCTCCCGCGCGAGCCGCCGCGCAGCGAGCAGGCGGGAGCGGCGCCCAGGCTTAAGTCGGGCCTGTCCCCCTACAGGGAGATTTTCGACGAAGAATAAAGGATACCCCCCAAATAGTCAAACAAGAATCCAAAAATAGTCTGGGGACTATTTTTGGGGTATTTTTTGACCTTCTTGGGGCATTTTTGTGGTATTTTAATTTTTCGTCGCAAATCCCCCTGTAGGGGGACACGCCCGACATAAGCCCAGGCACTGCAGGCGGCGGTCTGGCCTGAGCATTTTCTTAGGGTGGAGGGCTCAGGGTGAAGTCCATGTGGGCTTTCGCACTTCGAAGCTCAGTCCGTCCTGTGCTTCACCTTTTGCATGTCCAAAACTCGAAGGTCCATCGAGACGACACTTCAGATTTCACCTTTTGCCCTCCACCCAAAGAACATGCTCGGCTGGCGTCCGCCTTCGGAGAGGGTACACCGGCTTGAGCGGCACGGCCGGCCAAGGGCCAGCGTGGACCACGGCCACTGCTTCACTGGCGAACAACGGCCCAGCAGAAGCTTCTCCGCCATCGGGGGCTCGCGCCCCGGGGCGGCTGGACAGTGAATGCCCCGGTATAGACTGTCTGGGGCCGCACTGGGATGGGGGTCCCCGATGGCAGAAGCATGTCTTTTCTACACCGCTCCGCCCGCTGCAGAACCTCTGGGAACACGCGACGAAACTGGAGGCCCCCCACATGGGGTCCGAGTGGATGGGGCCGGAAGGTCGCGCCACATCGCCAGCGCACCGCCGATGTTTCGGCGACGTCGGCGACGCCTCCGCGAAGTCGGCGTGGAGAAGTTCGGGCTCCACATCGACATGCATCGCCGATGCCTCGGCGGTGTGGCTCGATCCTCTGGCTCCATCTGCTCGGACACCATCCGTCCGGACGCGCGCGCCGGGCCGCGCCGCGCGGCCTGCTGGAGGACCCTCCTGAACTGCGGCTCCCCGAGTGCCAGCTGATGCGGGCGCAGCGAGGGAAGGGGGGGAACACTGTGGGAGCAATTGGAGCACGTGCGGGAAGCTCCTCCTTCTCCTCCTCCTCCTCCTCCTCCTCCTCCTCCTCCTCCTCCTCCTCCTCCTCCTCCACTTCTCTCCTCCTCCTCCTCCTCCTCCTCCTCCTCCTCCTCCTCTCTCTCTCCTCTCTCCTCTCTCCTCTCTCCTCTCTCCTCTCTCTCCTCTCTCCTCTCTCTCTCTCCTCCCTCCTCCTCCTCCTCCTCCCTCCTCCTCCTCCTCCTCCTCCTCCTCCTCCTCCTCCTCCTCCTCCTCCTCCTCCTCCTCCTCTCTCCTCCTCTTCTCTCCTCCTTCTCCTCCTCCTCCTCGTCCTCGCCCTCGTCCTCCTCCTCCTCCTTCTCTCCTCCACCTTCTCTCCTCCTCCTCTTCCTGTAACCACCGCTACCTCGCGCTCCACTCCAGCCGCAAGACCCGTCTTGGGAGGCCCTGCGTAGCTGGAAACTTACCTTGGGCAGTTAGGGGCCAAGCTTCCATGATTACCCTTCTTGGAAAGGTTCGAACATGCAACTGCAAGCTGACGCCTGTCAACGGTGGCTGTACGACCGCAGTGGTGGCAAACATGCACGCTGAATCGATCCCAGAACCCCAACCGATGAGACTCGCACAGCGCGAAACCGCAAACCTCCACAGGACCAACTCTGGGACGCAGCAAAAACGCAGTCGGAGGCACACAAATCCAGGAGTTTGCCCCATCTGGATGGGACGCCGCGCCTGGAACATCCGAAGCGCTTGCCACACCAGGCCCTCCTCCTCCCCAGATGGCCGACGCCGTGCTCCGTTTGTTGCATGTGCCCCCGGAGCTTCCGACCTCTCCCCCAGGGGTCCCTGGGACCTGTTCTCCAGGCCAGGCTCCCGTAGAGATGGCCCAACGCCCGTAAAGCTTGGACACACCGGCCGCCCACACCTCTTCAAGACGCCGCACAAGCATACTTCTGCACGGCGGGGCTTGGGCCGCTGGCAGACCAAGGAAACGTTCGTTGACGTCCGCGAGAGGCCCCCCGAGGCTCAAAGCACGCCCAGAAACCGGCACAGCAGCGTCCCCAAGCCTCGATCTCCCAGAAGCTCGCCTCTCGATCCTCGAATCTCCGCGAGTCCTGTTCCTGAGCAAAGCCCACCGCCCATGATGGGCCCGTTTTTCACCACCACCACCATAAGTTGGAGGGAGGAAGGAGGTGGAGGATGAGGAGGACGAGGGTGAGGATGAGGATGATGATGATGATGCTGCTGACGATGAGGAGGAGGAGGAGGAGGACGAGGAGGAGGAGGAAAAGGAGCACCCCCTCCTTCATACTCATGGTGGTGGAAAACAAGGCCTCCAACCCACGCCCCCCCAGCCGTCACGGCGCCCCCTCTCGCACGCAGCCTGCTCGTGGCCCCAGCAATCCCTGTCCTTCAGCGTGAACAGCTCCTTGGGGGGTGCGGCCCGGGCCGGGCTCCTGCTCCCAGAGGAGCAAGAACGCCATACACTCACTCAAGTCGGGCACGTCCCTCTACAGGAGAAATGCTCAAACATAGTCAAAACATAGTCTGGGGACATTTTTATATTGACAGTTTTAATGTTTTTTCTTCAAGATCCGCCTGTAGGAGGACATGCCCGACCTAAGTATAAGGTCTGCGCGGACTCCTCGGATCGGCGCTGGGCACCCCCGTCCCTGGCGTTAGGTCGGGCACGTCCCCCTACACGGGGATTCTGGGCGAAAAGGAAAACACACCACACATTGTTCAAGAGTAGTCAAAACATAGCCCCCCGACTATTTTTTGACCACTTCTGGAACATTCCTCCTGCAGAGGGACCGGCCCGACTTCACCCTGGGCGGCGCGGAGCGCGCGCCTACAGGGGCCCGCGTATATCGAGGCCGGAGCTCGAGGAATTCTGGCGCGGGGTGGAGCTAGTTGGCCCACCCGGCCCGGCCGGACAATGTGGGAACTCTGGGTCGGTTGGGCGAACATTGTGAGAGTTTTGACGGTTTTGAGAGCCAGTATTCTTCTCACGTGCAGTGGTTATGCCGCGTCAGTCTGTAAAATTATCCGCCCCGTAGCTGCAGTATTACTCCTAAGACAGGGCTAGGATCGGGATAAATCGCTCCAGAGCGTTCTGGAGCGCTCTCAGAGCGTTCCGGAACGCTCTGGAGCGGCCGCGGCGCCCAATACATCCTCCAAACCCGCCGATCCTCAAAGATTTCGAGTTATCCCGATCCGATTTTGCCCCGATCTTCGCGTCGTTTTAACTCCGCCAGAAAAGGCTTCGGCAGGGGCACCGCGGCGGCCGGGCCCACAGGCAGCCAGCTTGCCAGGCCTCGGCCCCCCAGGGCGCCCCGAGCCGGCGCACAACGAGAGAGAATCCAGCAGACAGCCCACCAGGCCCCGGTCCCCCTTAAGGGTGACCCGAGCGGGGGGCTCGAGGAGCGGAACACTCTGCACAGAGAGAATGAAGAAGACAGCTCTAGGGGGCAAGCAAACCTACCTCGCTTTTGACCACCCTCGCTTCCAAGAGATACCAAGCGATGCCAAACTACGGCCCGTACTGGTCAGGCCGCTTGACGAGGAGGCGTGGTATGACTTGGTTTTGCCTGGAAGCGAAAGCGGGGCAGGTAATTCACGCTCTGAAGCTCACCAGGCCTCGGTCCCCCTGGTGCCCCGAGCGGGGACTCGAGGAGCAGAAAACTGCACAAAGACAACCTGCCGGAGAGCCGCGCGGATCCGCGCGGCTCTCCCGCCAGGAGCGGGAGCCAGGCGCCGGGCCAAGAAGCTCGTCGACGAGCTTCTTGGCCCGGCGCCTGGCTCCCGCCCCTGGCGCCTGCAGCGCGCCAGGGGCGGCGCCGCCAGGGGGGGCCGGCGCTGATCCAAGGAGTCCGCGCGGAGCTGTGAAATTGACGTTTTGTGCCGTGTTCAGTTCCTCGACTCTCCGCTCGGGGCACCCGGGGGACCGAGGCCGGACGTGCTCGAGTCGGCGACGCCTCCGGGGGCTTCTCCTCGGGCCTCCGCGGTGCCCGTGGAAGCCTCTGTGGCCCTCCCGGCCTCTGTGGGGTGAGGTCGGGCATGTCCTCCAACAGGCGGATCCTGGACGATAAATGAAATGATACCAGAGAAGAAAACAATCATAATCTTTTTAGGGCTGTGGGGCTATATGGGCTATAGGGCTACAGGGTAATAGAGCTACAGGGCTATAGGGCTACAGGGCTATAGAGTATAGGGCTCTAGAGCTATAAGGCTATACGGCTATATGGCTATAGGGCTATTGAGCTATAGGGCTATAGGGCTATAGAGCTATAGAGCTGTAGGGCTATAAGGCTATTGGGCTATTGGGCTATAAGGCTATAGGGCTACAGGGCTATAGGGCACCCGGGCACCCCTGGGCACGCCCGGGCACCTGGGCACCCGGCCGTGCGGCGAAAACCGGCGGCAAACCTAACCAACCCATATGATACGGAGAGCAAGCCCAATCATATTCTTTTTAGGGCTGTAGGGCTGTAGGGCTATATGGGCTATAGGGCTATAGGGCTATATGGGCTATAGGACTACATGGCAATAGAGCTACAGGGCTATAGGGCTATATGGTATAGGGCTATAGGGCTATAGGGTTATAGGGCTATAGGGCTATAGGGCTATAGGGCTATAATGATATAGAGCTACAAGGCTATAGGACTACAGGGCACCGGGCACCCGGGCACCCGGCACCCGGCACCCGGGCACCCACCCGGGCACCGGGCACCCGTCATCCGGGCACCCGGGGACCCGGCACCCGGGCACCCACCAAAGCACCGGGCACCCGTCACCCAGGCACCCGGGCACCCGGGCATTCGGGCACCCAAGCCCGGCCACCGAATCGGCGGCGAACCCGGGCACCCGGGCACCCGGGCACCCGGGCCCGGCCACCGAATCGGCGGCAAACCCGGGCACCCGGGCACCCAGGCCCGGCCACCGAATCGGCGGCACACCTCACCTGCCCTTAAACCCGCTAGGACACCTACAGAGGCAAGCTCTGATTGGGGAATGGATCCGCCAGGACCCCTACAGAGGCAAGCTCTGATTGGGGAGCATACTCCACGAGATATTCAAAATCACCTAGGCAAGAAACCGTCCACATACTGCTTTTGGATTCTGTTTGAGTCTTCCTCCTGTGGAGGGACACGCCCGACGCAACCGTGGGGGCATGGCCCGCGGCGTGGGGCGTGCCGCCTCGGGGGCGCCGGTGCGGGGCGCGGCCGCCCCCCAGGCCCGGAGCCCCCGAGGGGGCTCGCTGCGGGGCGCGATCCGCGCGAGGGGCGCGCCCGAGTCGGGCACGGGCCCGCACGGCGGAGCCCTCTCACCACTACAAGCCTCCTCCTCCTCCTCTTCCTCCTTCTCCTCCTTCTCCTCCTTCTCCTCCTTCTCCTCCTCCTCCTCCTCCTCCAATAGAAGAAACGCCATAAAACATAAACTTTTGGCGCTCCGCGCGGATTTCTTGGATCTGCGCTGGACTCCCCTCCCTGGCGCGCGGAGCGCGCCAAGGGCGGCGCTGGAGGCGCCGCTGGGGGGCCCAGGCGCGGATCCGAGAAATCCGCGCGGAGCGCCAAAAGTTTATGTTCATGTATTTTTCTTCTTCGATACAAGCCCCATCAGAAATTCTTTGAATCGCCGTTCAGCATCGAAGCGCTCGATAGTTCGGGCACTTGTCAGAAAACACGTTCTTCAATGCTGTGAGGGTGCTTCTGGATTTCGGACACTCCTGCGTCTGGGCCGGATACCTCATGCCAGCATTGAAGTAGCGCCCACCACGCAAGCACCGAAAATAAAAACCGTCAATCTGTTTTTGAAGAGTCTTGTAGAGCCGCGGGCGTGGCTCCCTGTGGGGCGCGATCCGCGTGGCGGGTGTCCGGAAGTATGCGGCGACAGGGCATCAGCAACCGCAGGGAGGGGGAGGGAGGATGGTAGAACAACTGATCCTTCCGCGCGGACTTCTTGGATCGGCGCTAGGCGCCGGAGGCGCTGCCAAGGGGGCTCAGCGCTGATCCAAGAAATCCTCGCTGACCATCGAAGGTCTATGTTTGTAATTTTCTTTCTTCTTGGAAGAGGGCAGCAGGAGGAGGATGGGGATGCGGATGGGGATGGGGATGAGGAGGAGGAGGAGGAGGAGGAGGGGGAGGAGGAGAGGAGGGGGAGGAGGAGGAACGGAGGGAGGAGGAGGAGGAGGAGGAGGGAGGAGGAGGAGAAAGCGGAAGAAGGAGGAGAACGAGGAAGGAGGAGGAGGAGGAGAAGGAGGAGGAGGAGGAGGAGGAGGAGGGCGGAGGAGGATGAGGATGAGATGGGCGGCCTGCTGCTTCCACGTCTTCTGCTTCGTCGGCCGCTGCAGGTTGGACACCTGCGGGGCGGCGCCCCGCGGCGCCGCCCCCGACCCCCCCCCCGGACCGATCAAGGGCCCCGCAAGCGTGGATACCGCCCGAAGAGGGCCCGAGTAGTCTGAGGTCGGGCATGTCCTCCTACACTCGCCATCGCTCGGACGTCCATTCCCTGTGCTTTTTTCGGTTTCGTGCGTGGTTTTTTTCGCCAAATAATCAAGGATGCTCCTCGATGGTCCTCGCCGAAAGAAAAATGCACACGTCCGAGCGATGCCAGGTACAGGCGGATTTTGGAGGAAAAATATAGAATAGTCAAAAATGCCCACAAATAGCCAGAAAGACTCAAGAAGTCGTCCCGAGACTATTCTTTCACGATTTTTTGGATATTCCTCCTGTAGAGGGGCAGGCCCGACTTAAGAGCAGTTGGGTGCGTCCCAGAGCGGGTCAGCAAGTCATGGCACAAGGCACGAGGCATGCGCGCGGCCGAGGTGGGGGTGGAGAGGCATGGAACGTGTCGAACGACCACGAGGGGGCCCTGCACTCCAGGCAGATCTCGTGCCGCCCGCCATGATATCCGCCCCCCCTCCCCCCAATCATCCGCCCCCTCTTGGACTCCCCCGGATTACGTGCGCAGATGGGGTCGGAGGATCGCACCTCGTCGCCGATGCGTCGGTGATGCAGCGGCGAGACACTCGTGCTCGGGCTCGCGCCGCTTAGTTAGCGGGCGCATCAGCGATGCGCCGCGATCCTCCGAAGCCCGTGTGCTCCGGCCCCATCTGGGCGGACTGGAGGCAGGGGGCTCTGGGAAGCCAAAGCGTGAACACTTCCTATAGAGGGCTGCAGCCGTGGGGGCCGAAGTGCCGCTCCTCGCTCTCTCCGCGCCTCGTCCTCCTCCTCCTCCTCCTCCCTCCTCCTCCTCCTCCTCCTCCTCCTCCTCCTCCTCCTCCTCCTCCTCCTCCTCCTCCTCCCTTCTCCTCCTCCGCCTCCTCCTCCTCGCACCCTCCACACCGCACAGAAACCTCCAGAGCGCCCAGCGCCGTGCAACAGCTCCTCGACCCTCGATGCCCAAGATAACCTTGCGATCCCCCTGATAAAGGTGACCCCCTGCAGCACTGCCGTGATGCATCTGGCATGGGGTCCTGGATTGCTGTGTGTTGTGGTTTCCGGGGCCCTGAACCGGAGAGCGCCCAAACGGTGTCCGCCCCAGCAAGAGAAAAAACACCACAAGACTCAGGGCCCCCACTGGATCCCGGGACCGTCAAATTATCCGACGCGGAGATCGCCGTGTGCATTTCAGTTCCTGGCACTCCCGCCTGTGAGTGTCTAAGTCAGACAATCTTAGCTTGTCTCAGGCGGTAGCAGGGCAAACCGCCTGAGACATCCCCACCATCTGAATGCGAACGGGGAAATGTCCCCACCCCTGGCGGCTACTCTTTGGGGCGCTCAAGTGCCACGCCTCCTATATCGCGATGCGCATGGGGCTCTGACAAAAGAGAAATGTGATCAACTAAGCGGGCAAACCGCCTGAGAAATTCTCACCTTCTGGGCGCGAGCTTCCAATTGTCCCCACCCCTGGCGGCTCCTCCGTCGGGTGCTCAAATGCCACATCGCGATGAACCTGCGACTCTGACTGTATGAGAGATCAATGTATGGGCCGGAATATTACTAGGCTGAATACGAGCGGATATGATTGAAGGTATCATGGGCAGGTTTGGGCTATCGGGCCCCTATCGGCGATCAATGGGCGATTGGGGGTCGATGCATCCCCCCTATGCCTATCCCCCCCCCTATCGTTGCCCCCGACAAGCTCCCATGCCCTTGGCTCTACAGGCAGCGGGACCAGGGCGGCCACGCTGTGGGCCGAGCTGCGGAGTACCGAACCCAGACCCCCGACGTCATGATTTCTTCATGACGTCGACCCCCAAAGGTCTCGACCCATCCCCCAGGACCGGCTTCTCATCCCGAGCCGTTTCTGGACGGTCCCGAGGGCCGGTGCGGGCCTCCAGAGGCCGAGTGTCGCACTGCAGCGCGGGCCCGGCGTCGAAGGGCGCCTCGGACTCTAGGCATGCGGCGGTGAACGCCAATTTTTCTTGATTGCAATCGCGAGTCTCTTCCCTGGCGCTGGCCCGCAGCGCCTCGGCCAGCTGCACCTGCCATCCCCCGGGATTTGGCGAGGCTCTCCGAGCGTCGTGCCCGAAGACATGGAACAACCTCCCGTCGTGATCTTTTCATGGCCCGAGTTGGTCTGGGAAGGCAGCGCCGTCCGGGCCCCACGGGCTCCAGGGGCGCCGCCGCGCAGCGGTGGGCTCCGACCTGCAGATGCTCGAGCAGGGGCCGACCGTCCGGGCACTTCTGTAGGCCTACCACGACATGCTCTCAGAACCCAGAAGCGCTCTTCCAAGAACAACAACCATGTTCTTGGAGCATGAGCCTGATGTGCCAAAACAGGACAGCCCCAGCCAGAAGTGCTCCAAGAGCACTTCGTAGAACATTCGTTGGCAGGCCTATGCGCGAGCCAGGCCGCTTCGCCACTGCTTGGGATGCCGCCACGGTGCCGCACCGCTGCCCGCCGCTCCCTCTTGGCGGGGTGGCCCCTCCCCCGGCCGCCGCGCCTCGCGGGGCGAAGGGCCTGCGCAGCCATCCCCTGTGTGGGCCCCGGCGCTGTTTTTTCTCTGCTCCTCTTGGAGGAGGAGCAGGGAGGGAGGGAGGAGGGAGGAGGGGGGTGGGAGGAGGGAGGAGGAGGAGGAGGGGAGGAGGAGGGACGAGGGAAGAGGAGGAGGAGGAGGCGGAGGAGGAGGAGGAGGAGGAGGAGGAGGAGGAGGAGGAGGAGGGGGAGGAGGAGGGAGGAGGAGGAGAGGAGGAGGAGGAGGGAGGAGGAGGAGGAGGAGGAGGAGGAGGAGGAGGAGGAGGAGGAGGAGGAGGAGGAGGGAGGAGGAGGGAGGAGGAGGAGGAGGGAGAGGAGGGAGGAGGAGCAACTGCTTGTCGGTGCCTGCTTCTCTCGACACCCGAGGGCTGATAGGCGGGCTGGATGCACACCACGGCCTGCGGCGCGCGCTCCGTGAGGCGCTTTGTCCCCCCATTCCAGTCCGCTGCCCCAGCTTGAAGGGGACCTGGGACACACAGAGCACACACAGAAATAGACACGAACAACAGGATCCCCATATGTTAACGGGCGAATGACGGTATAACATAAACTTTTTCGCTGTCGGGGGCGCCTGTCCCTGGGCGGCTTGAAAGTTTATACCCTTACGGCGGCACCGTAGGGGTATAAACTTTCCAGCCGCCCAGGGACAGGCGCCCCCGACAGCGAAAAAGTTTACTTTATACCGTTCTTCGCTCGCTGAATATGTCCTGATATTTTAGTTTTTTTGTCTTCTTCCCCCCCTCTTCCCATACTTTCCAGTAGTTTCAGGGGGATCGACGATTCGTTGTGTCTGTGTTGTTTTTTTCCCCTCCTGACAGCTGCACGGCGGAAGGCAGCGGCCGCAGCGAGGCTGAACGAAGGAGCGGTTCGTGGTCCTCGCCTGCAGTCGCCAGGACTGCATGGCTGGCATCGCAAGGGCCTGCCAGGCGATCTCCGCAGCCGTTCGAGAGCGGGCTCGGCTGTCCAAACTCTCTCGGCTTTTGGGCCCCCCTCCAGACCCGCGGAAGAAACCACCGCGAAATGCCCGCAGCAACTGTGAAACGCTGCCGCGCCTTGATGCGGGCGACAACTGCGTACGCCGCTCCCGCGATTCCTAGCGTGCCATCCGGGTGCGGGTCGCCGTCCGCGTGCCAGTAGTTCGTGAACCTCCTGTTCCACTGCGGCACGCTTTCTCAGGCTCCCGAGACGGGCTGGGCATTCTGACGGGGCCCCAGGCACGCATAAATACACACACATAAGAACATTCCCCGTATTTTCCAACATTTTCTAGGTTTTTGTCGCCCCCCCACTTCCCTTATTTTCCCATATTTTCTGGGGAATCGACGATTGATTGTGTCTGTGTGTTTTTCCCCTCCTGACATTCTTCGTCCTCTGCAGGACTCTCTGCCAGCTGCTGCAATCCAGTCCCCGAACACAAGTACCGCAGCAGGGGAAGGAAGCGTCGTCCAGCATGGCCGCGGCGGCCCCCCAGGGAACCGAAACCTGCTCAAACGCGTCAAACGACCCCCATCATCGAACCTGGATCCTCGACATGGGTCGGCGGAAACACGTTGTTGCGTTGTCGTTTCGTTTCCGTTTCAAAGCGCAAAGCACACTGGGATATTCCCTCCCAAAAGCCATCGTGGTGCACATCTAGAATCGCGCCCCATTGGCCCCAAGGACGAGATCAGAACGAAGACGGAGTCAGGGCGACAACTGTCCACGAACACCATCCCTCCGAGCCTCGAAACACTCTCGATACTCGGAGGACCTCTACCCTCGAGCCTCGAACTCCCTCCCCTTCTCTTGGCGGCGCGCACAAGGGGGTGTGGCGCGGGGGGAGTGGCCTTTCTACGAAGGCGGTGGGCTATATACAAGGCAAGGGCCTTCTTAGAGACGCCTGGAGGATTCTAAGAAGGCCTCGGATAAGCACGGCATTTTTCGGGAATGGACAGAACTCCCTTTACTAAAACGTGGTTTAGCGAAAACAACCTCGGGTCCAAATCTGGCGGGCGCAAGCCTGGAAAATGACGACCGCGGCGCCCTCTCGAGAAGCGAAAACATATGCTTCACTAATCGACGTGTCAGGGTGGGGGTTTTGTTCACCCCCGAATGTTTCTGAGACTCCCCTTACCTTCTCAGAAACACCCCGCTTGTAGAAGACCGCCCCCATCGCGCGTCTGGCTTTTGGGCCATGAGGCGGGTGCCCAACGGCCATTCGAGACGATCCGGGCAACCCAGGAGCGCTCTTGGCGGGGCGCAGTGCTGGAGCGCATCCCGACGCTGGAAAAACCGCCGAGAACCGACGCACACGCACGAGCCCCAATCTCAAGACCTCGATCCCCTCGCGCCTCCCCTGATGCGCGCCGCCCGCCAACACACCCCCGAACCAACCTCGAC